TAACAAGAAGGAACAGATTTTGATCTTCTAACCTGAATACCTGTTCTTTTGGGGGACACAAACTGTTATTTGTAACAGAGATAAAAAGATAAATGTCTGTGACGATTAGCTTAATTGTCAACTAATTGGTTGGAAGCTGCCTGGGGTTAGAAAAGCACACTTCTGGATGTGGCTGGGTGGGTCATGGAGTCATGGCCTTGGGTTCTGCGTCCAGTGCCTGCCTCTGTGGCACTGTTCTCCTTCTCTGCTTCCTGACCACAGTGAACCCAGGAGCTTTATTCTGCCCCTCACTTCCACCATGATGTTTCGTTCTCAGAGCCAGCCATCTATGGACCAAATCCCTGCAACTAGGAGCCAAAAGAACTACTTTGACCTTTAAGTTTCGAGTGTGGAGTATTTGGCTCCAGTATGGGAAAGCTGACCAGTGCAGCCTCCAGTTGTCATACTAAGTTAAGTTCAAATCCGTGGTTTATGTCTCCCTAGAATGTTTTCAGAATTGACTCTTGTTAAAACATTTCACTCAAACATGTTCAAGTACTTCTTTATGTTAGGAAATATCTTTTGTTGCTACTCAATGCATTACTTCTCACTGTTAAGAGTGAAAACTCATGAAACAGATAAAAAAGTAGATTAAAAAAAATCAATGATTTGAACAGGTGGTTCTTTGAAAGAATAAACAAAATAAACCATTAGCTACACTTGCCAAGAGGAGGAAAGATAAGATTCAGATGAAAGCAATTAGAAAAAAAAAGGCAAAACCACAATGGATGAAATCCAGAAGATACTGTGGGTGCTTTGAAAGCCTTTACTCCAATAAATTGGAGAATCTAGAAGAAATGGATAGATCCCTAGACACATATGAATTACCACAACTTAATGAAAAATATATAAATCCCCCCAGAGTCATATAACTGACAATGAAATTGAGAGAATAATAAAAACCCTCCCAACTAAGAAAAGCTCAAGACCTATGGATTCACCACTGAATTTTTCAAGAACTTCAGGGGAGACCTAATACCAATATTCCTCAAAGTTTTTTTTTTCCTTTGGTCTTAAATTATTTTATTGGTACATTTTAGGTATACAATACCTTTACATTCATTATTAGGATTTTTCCCTTTTTTGTTTCTAGTCTCTAATTTATTCCCCCCATTTAAGTTTATTGGTACATTTAAGGTAAACAATGCAGTTATATTGATTATTGGGATCTTGTACCTTTACTATGGAGAGCTTTGTAAAGGAACACGATATGAGCGCAGCCATATTGACCTGTGATTCACCCGAGCAGTGTGGATGTGCTGTCGCCCATGGCAACGGGCTAGTTCAGCTGGTGGTCTGATCTATTGCCTAGCAGATGTAACCCATAATAGTTGTTATTGTTTCCCTCTGGAATGTGTGGGCGGTACTCTCGCTCCCGTGCAGCGGGAGAGTATAAAAGGGAAAGGTTCGGTAATAAAACAAGCCAGGAACATGAGAAGAAAGGTGTCTTTCGTCTCTCTGTGCTCGTCCTTTCAGGTTTAGGACCTGCTGGCAGGATCCTGACATCGCGGCTCGCGACACTACATGATGTATCTCAGTTTTATTTTTTTTCCCCAACTCCCCCACTCCTCCCTTCAGCCCCTCCAACTCTCCCTATTTGCAAGGCTTTGTTTCCATTTATGTCTTATCTTGTATTTTTTCCTTTCCCTTTTCAAATGTTTCTTAAGGGCTGCATCTTCTCAAAAACAATTTCCACAACTAATATCTTACTTGGGGCTTTGTCATTGCTTATGAGAGGAGTAACTCAACTGTTCCCTTTTGGCATGTGTTCCTTCTTTACATTCTAAGTTCAAACTCTTTAAGGAAATTGAAAGGGAAGGAGTACTACCAGCCTCATTCCTGGGAGTCAACATTACTTTGATTCCCAAAGTAGACAAACACTCAACTAGAAAAATATAACATACCATATTTCAATGTTACATGCATACCCATGTTTATAGCAGTACAACTCATACTAGCCTACATACTGTAAGAAGCCTATATATTGCTGTCAGGAGACAACTTAGTCTTGGGGGCATTTTTACATAAATTCTGGGGAAAAATCATTTCATAATTAAAGTATGAATATAGCTGTCTAAGGTGCAATGTTGCCTTACCTGAGAGCCAGCTATGGCATGTGGAAACATAACTTCTTTGTCACAGCTGAGACCTCAATGGTCTGTGAAGCTGTGGCACTCAAAGGCAAGATAGTACCAGCTGAAGACATCCTTGGTTCTTTGAGAACCAAATAGTAATACAAAAGAAAAAGTTTTCACCTGAGGAGGGATGAGTTCCTTATCAGCTCAACTCATCCCACCTACTGAGGTGGGAATGCTTTCCTTTCTGCCCTCATCAGCATGAGATTTGCATTGGCATAGGATCAAACATAGGATCACAGCTGTCCCCCAAGTCACCTGATACTCTCTCCAATTATGGTGTGTACCCAATAAATAGTGGCCTGCTCTGAGGAACTGACCTCCAGGATCCCCATACACTTTATTTGTTTTGTTTGTTTGTTTTTTGAGACAAGGTCTCACTATGTAGTTGAGACTGACCTGGAACTCACTATGTAGCCCAGGCCTGTCTTGAACTCACAGCGATCCTCCTGCCTCAGCCTCCCTAGTGCTGGGATTACAGGTGTGCCACCATGCCCAGCTCCCCATGTACTCTGAAATTATGCAAGTCTCTATTGTCCTTTTTCTTTAGCCCTCACCATCCCCCTTTCCAGGCAGTCTGAGGAAATTGGCCTCCAATACTTGATTTAAAAAAATGCTATTTATGTACAATACAGTACTACTCTGACATAAACAAGGATAAATTTGAGACATTTATAGGAAATTGTATGCTTCTGGAAACCATAATATTAAATGAAATAAATCAGATATTTAAGCTTAGATATCATACTGTTTGTCTTATGTGAGACAACCAAAGTATAAATAATGTAAAGAGCAAATGAAAGGAATGACAGTAGAAATCAGGGAGATAGATTTTTCCAAATGGGACAGGGATCTAGAGATGGTTGAAGGGAAAACAGATGGGTTGGAATGAGGAAGTAAAAATAATTAAGATGTGTATTTACATGTACCAACTACTCATGATGAATGGAATCATTATGTATTGCAAACATGTGCTTAATGAAAATAAAACCTGTTAGATAAAAATAACAATGTATTATTTGTTTAAAATTGTTTTATTAGTTCATATTTGTGATACATAATGATTCCATTCATCATAGGGAGTTGCTATGAGAATATAACACATCTTAACTGTTCTTAATCCCATTCCACTCTTATGTATGCAGTTTTTATGACTATATTTTAACACAAATAATATATGTACCTGAGTTTGCTTATTCATTTTCTCCTAACAGCCTGGGATTGGGCCTGTTGATGCCGATGACCAGTTGTGCTGCTCTTTACACAAATTTCGCAGTTCTTGGAGAAAGCGCTGTGAGCCATCACCAGACAGTAGGATCTGTTGTAAATCAGCAGCCCCTCAGTCACGTGATACGATGCGCAGGAACTTCTGGAAGCCACTGAGCAGCATACGCTTTGTTTCCTTCTAGCTCTTGTAACTAATTTTGATGACCAAGGTCTGGCCCTCGACTCTTCTCTGAACCTGGTCATCAATATCTCTGGGATTCTGTACTTAGGATTAAGTCAGACATATTTTCTCATTGGTGCTGAGTGACCTTTTGGTCCTCTTTAGGATAATCTTAGGCTTCACGAGAGGTCTGAGGGCAGCCAGGATGCTGGGGAGGAGATGGTATCACAAGTGTAGCCAGTGTATTTTCTCTCAAACTTTTCTTAATGCATGCTGTGTTATTTTATTCTATTAATATATTTGAATATTTTGTATAAATCATGACATCAAACCTAGCAAGACCGAAAATGACTAAGAAGACACAATCTTTTCCAAGGATCATCATATTGTCCATGCTATAATAAAGTGATGTGTTCAGTATGTGGTGTCACTGAGGGGAGCTGACCAGTTCTAGGATAGCTGAGCAGAGTGGGATTGAGAAATGAAGTAGGACATTGGCACAGGAAAGATAAGGGAGTCTGAAGCATCAGTTTTGTTCCTAAAATGTAGGCAGTCAATGGTAAATTTCAGTAGTTTGTGACTAATGAGAAAATTAAAGATAAAGTCATGGTATTGAACTAAATTTACTCAATCTAAAGGTTTAGCATTTTCTGAAATGATCCTTTTCCTATTTTGTTGTGAATTTTTTAAAAATGATGCTGATCATGACACGTTTCATTCTAGAGAAAACATTTCTGCTTTGGAAGAAAGACACAAGCAAAAGCCCCCAAATTCACATCAACACTTGTTAGTGCTCCTCTGTTTTGCATTTTCATTTTTTGAGAAATAGGCCATGAAATCTCCAGAACTGGAAACAATGCTGGTAAATTACTTTTCAGAATTGTCCTTACTGTCAGCTAATTCTGTGAATTATCAATAAAGAACCTTCCCTGAGAAGATTGGGAGCTTCGCCTCCATTGGGCATCACGCCAGGGGAGGCGAGGTTGGAGGTCTGGGCAGTGGCCTCTGGGATTTCTCCATAAAAGGCTCGGTGCCCTGGTCCTGGTCAGGTGTCTCTGTAGAGGAATCACGCAGACCCTACTCAGCTGGCCACCCTCAGCTCTGGACCAGTGCGGAGGGAAGAGGTGAGTTGGGGAACACTGATTTTGGCCCAGTTCTGGTTTAGATCCCAGATGTGTGGAGTTAAAAAAAAAAGGGAGCCAAGAACCCTTTAGTCTGTGTGGGAGTAGATAGGAGTATAGTAGTGACAAGGATGTGTAGGAAAGATGGTTAAATAAATAGCTATTCCAAGGGGCCAGGGATTTGGCTCAGTGGTTTTGCTGCCTGCCTTGCAAGCACAAGGACCCGAGTTCAATCCCTGGTACCAAAAAAAAAAAAAAAAAAGTTATTTTGCTTTTCTTTAGATGGCAACTGCCAAACTCAGTTTCTTGTTGTTCCTCATGGTGGCTGCCTCAGATTGTAGTGCAGGTGAGTCTCCTTCCAGGAACCCAGGCTTCCCAGCTCATCCTTTGGAAAAGAATAAGTAGGCTGAGTTGCTCCAGGACCTGAGTCTCTCTGGGGATGAAGATGTCTTTGAGATGCACTGAGGTCCCCTGGGATGTAGGCTGAGAGCTGATTTCTGAGGTATTAAGGGATCTGACCTGTAGCACAGAGGGTGCTCCTAAGGCTGGACCTTGGTTCAGGCTCTGAACCTCACTTTGACCTTGAAGGGTCTCTGGAAAGAACTGTGTCCTCCCAGCCATCCTCACTCCCATGGCCTTGATCTTGGGGCTTGAATAGCAATCTCATGGTCTACTTTGGATCCAGAGAATGTTTCCTTCTTAGTCCTCCTCTCCACAACAAGAAAAAAGGGCCTTTTTTAGTTCTCTTCATTATTACTTTTGAAAGAGAAAACTATGTTTTAAAAATATCCTCTCACATGTTCTTCACAAAACAGTATTTATTAGCTGCATTTTAGGCATGGGATAACCAGGAGTCAGGCATATTGAGATTTCTGTATAAGGATAATCAACTTGTAAGTATTGAGTGGCTTAGCCTGCCTGGATGTCTCTGACCACAATACTTGTCACAGTGGACCCCTCAAATTATGACTGGCCCCAACAAAGGAGCAACTTGAGCTATGAACATGACCAGAACATGACCAGCAGTTAGTGCTTCCCGATGGTCTTAGATGTAGATTTAACACTTAAAGAGTTCTGAAGGAACATTACAACATCCTTATACCGTGTGGGGTTAATTGAGAAATCCTTGATGGGGTTAGTTGAGAAAGCCAATGTCTGTCTAAGGATGCTGAAATCTGCCTGTATTCAGGAGAGAGACTTTGAAGGCTGTGTAGAGGAGCCTGAGCCTTCAATTGACCATCTTCAATTACAAGCAGTCCTTACCAATGAATTGAGTTCATAAGTGAAGGGTCCACTGTACTGCCTCCTTCTTTCTGATTTATAGTCCAGTGAAGATCAGAATTCAAGGTTCTTCATTTTATGGCTGTGTTAGTTTCTTGGCCATGGTCAATACTATCTTCCGTGAACCATGTTAACTTACTTATATTTCTTAGAACGGTGGTCTTAGCTAAGAAATCATTTGCCCTAGACTTCTGTGCCTCAGACATCCTATGCTAGACAGTTCCCCAGCATCCAGTCAGATCTCTTCATTCTCTATTCTCATCTGAGTCTTCCTTTTGTTCTCCTGAACTTCTGTTTCATCCCTCTCAGTACACTTTTCTGTTGACATTTTGGAAAGTCCCTCCAGAGGTAAGCTATTGGCTTTCCCCCAATCCCTCAGGAGCGGAGGTGTTTAATTCCTTCGAATGTCCAGTGCCCAGAGCAGGGCCTAGCACAAGCCCTGTGGGGAGGCACATGCTGCATGCTGGGCCAGATGGGTTGAACAGAGACAATTCTGAGTCTCAGGGGCTTTGAACACAGGCTATGAGACCCTGGAGCACTGGAGGAATGAGTTCCGTGTTAGTGACAAGGACAGGCTGAGTTTTGTATCAAATCAGCAATGAGAATGAAACTCTTCATTTTCTCTAGCTGTGGCCTTTCCTTATCAGAAATGGAACTGTTCTTTGTCTCCATCTCTGCCAGGAAGCTGCAAAGAAGTGATGCAGAGGTATGGTACTGCATGTGGTGAGTGTTGTGTCATATAAGACAGTCCTGCCAAGCACAGCTCTTTGTCTCTGGGATGTTAATTTAATTTAATTTTTGTATAAAAAGTATGGAAAAATATACACATGTTACATATTGGATAAAGTTTGCAATTTTAATCAGTTTTAAATGCACATTTTGGTGGCATAAATTACTTTCACATTGCTATACAATCATCACCACTGTCCATCTCCAGAAAATTTTCATGACCTCCAAGTGAGACTCTGTAGCCATTAGCAATAGATTAATATTCTCTTTTTCACTACTATCCTACTTAATGGTCTGGATAAATTTGCCTATTCTAGTTACCTCATGTAAGTAGAACCATAAACTATTTGTCCTTTTGTGTTTGGCTTAGTTTTCTTAGCTTAATGTTGACAAAGTACATATACATTGTAGCATGGATAATTCATTCCTGTTCAACCATGGTGTTTACATTTATTTATCAATATATGTACACTGGATATGTAACATATACCATATATACATATACACAGGATGTTTTGTTCATGCTTTCATCTGTTGAGGAATACTTGGGCTCTATCCACTTTTTGGATATTGTGATCAATGATGCTCTGAACTTTAGTGTATAAATATCGGTTCAAATTCAGATTTCAAATTTTTGGTTATATATTCAGAGTGGAATTGTAGAATTGTGATAAATCTGTTTTTAACTTCGTGAGGAGAGTTGCTGGGAGTTTGGATAATTCTATGTTTTGCTTCACTCACAGGGGTATGGTCATCTGAACTCAGCAGATTCCAGTGGCCCTAAAGACATAAAATGATAGGGCTCAAGGGAGGAGTTTGGGCCAGGTGTCTTGTTCCTAGAGTTGTCCTGGTGGTGGGGCTGAGATGGGCCATGAATTTGCAGACAGGAAGGCTTTGGGCTTCTTCTCCACACAGATGGCCTATATTTCCTTCACACCAAGGAGGGTGTCATCTACCGGACCTTCTGTGGCATGGCCACTGCGGGTGGAGGCTGGACCCTGGTGGCCAGTGTGCATGAGAACAGCATGCATGGGAACTGTATGGTGGGTGATCGCTGGTCCAGTCAACAGGGAAACAGAGCAGACTACCCTGAGGGTGACGGCAACTGGGCCAACTACAACAACTTTGGGTCTGCAGAAGCAGCCACAAGTGATGACTACAAGGTTGATGTGTTCTGTGAGAAAGGGTGGGTGCTGAGTTTGGCGAGGCCACAAGTATGCAGGAGGGAGGCTTGGAATGGGGTGCTGAGCTACAGCTGGAGCAGATGAGAGAAATACATGTCTTGAGTCCTAGCTTCCTCCCAAAAAGCTCAACAAAAATGGAGCAACTGGGTGTTGGTGAAAAGATTATCTGATGGAAATGAATCCACCTGTCCATCTTTCCACTTAAAACACAGCTGTCATCTCATGCAAGTACTTCACGTGTGTGTCTTCTTTTCTCACGGGGTCACCTGGCCTAATCACGCTCAGTGTTGGTTGCTTTCCAGAACCCTGGCTACTATGATATCCAGGCCCTGGACCTGGACATCTGGCATGTGCCCAACAATAGCCCCATGGAGAACTGGAAGAATAGGTCCCTGCTGAGGTACCACACAAAAACTGTCTTCTTCCAGAGGCTGGGACACAATATATTTGGCCTCTACCAGGTACACAGGGCTGTTGGCTGGGCTGACTTTCTTGAGTCTGGGGAGCAGTGAGTATTTGAGGTCAAGCAGGAGCTATCTTCCTCTGGGTCTGTCTTGCATGTTTGCGACATGACCCACAGAAAGCAGAGATCCATGAGAGTGATTCTGGTGAGAAAAACTGGAAATGGTTATAGCCAAAGGGAAATATTTTTATGTTGCTTTGCTTTCAAATAACCTCTGTTATGGAGAACAGAATGTTTCCATTTTATGCAGCATTTCTGTGAGAGCCAAAACTATTGCCTTACTCAATGACTTCTCCATTTCCCATAGAAATACCCAGTGAAATATCGAGCAGGAAAGTGTTGGACTGATAATGGCCCTGCCATACCTGTTGTCTATGATTTTGGTGATGCTCTGAAGACGGCATCTTATTACTCACCCTATGGCCACAGTAAGTCTTTGGTGCTCCTCTGAAATCTTTGTAAGAAAGACTAAAATTCAGTTATGATGGGTAGCAATTATCTCTCACTTATTGTGGCTTGGTTCTCCTCTATGCGTGTTATATGTACAGTATTGTCTCACTTAATCTGCAGAGCTATGCTTGAGGCCTAACTAGTATTAACTCCTTCATATAGATTAGGAAACAATCAGTGAAAGGTTTAGGATTTTGTGTTATTTCAAGGGTATGGATCCTTAATTCAGAATTTGGACTTGAAAAATTTGGCTCCAGTCTCTATTCCCAGCAACCCTATTACCAGACCCTCAGTAAGTTGTTAGGAATAGGTCAGGTTCATTTGCCCAGGGAAGAGCAACAATGCTGAGGCAATTATATTTCTATTATGAGGGTTAACTGTAAGTTCATTTAATGTGAATCTAAATTTGGCAGCATATCTGTCATACAGGCTGAGCCTGTGCTATAAAATGTGCCACTCTTATTATGTACATTTGGGGTTTGAGACTTTATAATGAAAGAGAACAGGAAAAGCGTGAAGAGGATCAGTGTGAGTGCACTTGCCCGTTGCTGTAATCTGCCCTGAGTGATGTTATTGATGATTTTCTTGCACCGTCGAGTTTCTCCCTGCAAGCCTCTGCCAGTCCAGGGCACCTTGTGAGCACTAGGTCTTTGGCTTTGGAGCATGACCAGGTCTCTGTTGGTCAGGCTTGGGCCTGACATAAAACCGCCACTGGGCACAGTGGTTTTGGCCCCACTCATGCATCTGAAGTGTTGGCCTGGAGCCTGAGCCTGGCATAGACATTTTCTGGCATGGCCCAAAGGACACTATTTCTAGTATTTGCTTTGTAATGTGTTTCTTCACTGTTGTTTCCAGAGGAACTCACCACAGGATTTGTCCAGTTCAGAGTATTTAATAATGAGAGAGCAGTGAACGCCTTGTGTGCTGGAATGAAGGTCACTGGGTGTAACACTGAAGCAGTGAGTTTCTGTGGGCACAAAATGGGCTTGTGAGCAATGCCGTATCTGTCAGTTTGTGTTTGTGTGTATAGTGCGGTAGACTTGTAGCTTGTGTGTATATGTGTGAGTGTGGCCTTCCCTTGCATACCACTGGGTCTCAGGGACCAGAGCAAGAGGACTCTGTTCAAGTATAGATGTTCTGCCTTTTTGGAACAAAAATCAAGAATTGTGGCTGCATTGGGATAAAATACTTAGTTGCTTGGGGTTAAATTGAGGCTGATGTTCAGGAAAGTCCTGTGAAACATTTTGGAGCTATGACTGACCAACTCCCAGCCTTGTCATTTTGGACCAAAGGTTTAAATTTCAGAATGTAATTTGGTATTCCAGGCATGTCTGGGGCTTGCATAGATTCACACTCTGTGGAGGGACTGTGAGAAGAGTCCTGGGTATCTTGTGGTGGAACCCAGTGAACCCACCCTGTCCCTCTCACAAAAGCCTTTGCCCCGAGATCATCAGTGGGACTGACTGCCAGGGCAGGTGTACTCATGTGTCACCCGTAGCAACCTTGCTGTCTCCCTTAGAGAAAATTAGACTCGTAGTGGTTTTTCCAAGTGAATAAGGGGCAGCTTTTATCCAAGGGAGGATGAGGAGGGAGCTCTTGAGCTGTGCAGACTTAGCATGTTCACTTGGGACCCAGCCTTCTCCCAATTAACAGCCTGAAAAACATGTCCTGAGCTGCTGGCAGTGACCTTGAAGATCTCAGTTTTCTTTCACTTCTCAACCATTGGCTTGCATCTTTCATAGTTATGATGAGGCAGTTTTGCTGTCAGGGAAGATTCTGTGGTCATAATGGAGAATGGTTACTCAGAGGCACCAAAGGGACTGGTCTCTTTGTGACAACCTATCTACGGTGGCACCTCTCAGCCATGGCTTGAATCCTGAGTGATGCAGTGGGCAATGGCACAATCTACTCCTTAAAAAAGCTTGCAGGGAGCACCCACCTTGTACTGGACAGCAACACATAATCATGTGCTTTTGGTCCAGCATCTAGCAGGATATTGACAGAAAAATGTCATTACCATGTGAAGCATCTGAAGAATAATAGATATATAAACAAGGGGACCAGGGAGGTCATTGTATTAGAGTGTTTGCCTAGTACATGTGAAGCACTGGCTTTGATGTCCACCCCTCAAAACAAAACAGAAACAACTAGGGGCTGCAAAAGCATGTAACTGTGCTGGGTGTGTCAGAGCAGTGACTAAAGAGAAGGTATCATCTGAGCTGGTTCTTGGGAGGTGGATAGAAGTCTATGAGGTATGAAGGCAATTTAGGTTGAAAGAATAGAATGTTCAAAGTCACTAGTGTTTCAGAGAGTATGTGGTATTTAGGGAGCTACAGGCTGTTTTGCAGTTTTGGCAGATAGGGTGTAAGCCAAAGAGAGTCCTATAGTCTTTAAGCATGAAGGAGATGTGTCCCATCCTAGGGAGCAACACATAAGGAATAAGTTAATGAAGAGTCCCCCCAGGGACACTGAGAATGAATGTTTATAAAAGTGGGCTGAATATCAAGAGGAGACATAATAGAAATAAAACTAAAGAGAGGGTTTTATGGATGTAATAATGAAAATTCAAACAAGGAACAAAGACGTTGCTGTTAAAATATCTGTTGCTTCACTAGTTGATGTCTCATTACCCTTTCCTCCTTTCCTCTTTTTCTAGCACTGCATTGGTGGAGGAGGATACTTCCCACAGGGCAGTCCTTTGCAGTGCGGGGACTGCACTGCCTTTGACTGGAAAGGCTGTGGAACTCACAGGAGATGGAGCAGTAGCCGGGAGATAACTGAGGCAGCTGTGCTTTTGTTCTATCGCCAACACCTTCTTGCTATAGGTCCCAGCATTCTTCTCACAACTACCCGGACTCAGTGATGGAGACTAACTTACCTAGTATTTAGAAAGTCAGTGGCTGAGAAAAGAAAAATAAATCATTTGCATTGAAGACTTGGTGTTTCTACAATTTCTTTTCATGCAGGGGTGAAGAACTATAAAAAGTTTTCAAAAGAATGTGCATTGTGGAGGCTGAGTCTATGTCACCCACTCTAGTGCTTGGAATGTTAGAATTCAGCAATCCTGAGAGAGGAATACATCATCCCACAGGACCCTTTCAGGTAGCCCCTTAGATAGCTAATGGAGTAAAGGGAAAGAAGGAGGCATTTTACCTAACCCCCTCCTAACTCTCCTACATGGACTAGACAGTTAGAACCTGATTTTTTTTTTGCCAGGAATTGAACTTGGGTTGTTGTGTTTGCAAGGCAGGCCACCGAACCACTGAGCTAAATCCCCGGCCCAGAACCTGAATATTTTAAAGAAGATAATAACAGTGCACCAAAGAGGAAAGGGATTACCTACATTGATATATGTTATTTTCACTGGTGGCTGTGGTATTTTCTTATGGAAAAATGAGCCTGTTGGCCTATGATGATGATGACTCTTGAGTGTCCAGCTCTTCTGGGTTCTATCTTGTTTGTTTGTTTGTTTGGTACCAAGGATCGAACTCGGGTCCTTGCACTTTTCAAGGTAGGTGCTGGAACCACTGAGCTAAATCCCCGGCCCTCTAGGCTTCCATCCTTAGGGGCTTCTTCAAAAGGAGACAAGTGGTCAAATCATCCTCATGGTGTTATTGGTACAGATATGATGGAGAAGACATCTGTCCTGCCCCGTAAGGATTTCTGAGATATTTTGTTGAATTTTCCTCCAGAATGAAAATATTGTTTTCAAATTTTTATTTTGTAGTACATAATGATTGCATTTATCATGGGGCATATACACTACATACAGCTATTCTTTTTCTAGGTATTTTCCCCAAAATGCTAAAGACATCATATGACAATGGTGTTGCATACCCATGTTTATAGCAGCACAATTCATAATAGCTAAATATTGGAAACAGCCTAAATGTCCATTAATAGGTGAAAGGATAAAGGATAGTGGTGCTTGTACACAACAGAGTACTGTTCTGCTCATAGCAGAAGATAAATTTGAATCATTTGTAGGAAATTGGATGCTTCCTGAGAGCATAATATTAAGTACAATAAATAAGATACATGAGCTTCAATATCACATGGCTTCATTTTTATAAGGAACCCAAAGCATAAATAATTGAACAATGAAATAAAAGATAGATACAGAAAACCAAGTTGCAAATGGGAAGGACATGGAGAGATGGAGAGATGGTGTGAGGGGTGAGGAAGAGGAGAGCTTGGGTACATAGAAAGAATTCCCATTGCTTGTGTGGTCAGTTCACCTGGTTGGTTCATTTGCTATGTAATAATTTTGTAATTAAATATCACATTGTTGATTTTTTATATCATTTCTTGTGCAATTGGTGTTCTGTTCAGAAAATCATTGCCTATGCCTATGTCTTCAAGAGTTTTACCTATTTTATCTTCCAGCAGATTAAGTATTTCTGTTTTAATATTGTCATGGCTTGCATCTAGGTGAACCCCCAAAGCCCCATGTGGTCAGGAGGTGGCTGGATCTAGACTTGTGATGCTGGAATTAAGGGTGTGATGCTGGGATTAAAGGTTCCCCCATAGTGGGTATGGGTGCACCACCCGAAACACTGTTAGTTTGGAAGGTGTAAAAGGGACGCCAGTGCTGCTGCTGTTTGCTGCTTTTGCAGCATGAATGTAGGGAACAGGGAAAGAGGACGTTATTAGAACCTCTGCAGTAAATCCTAGTCTCCTCTGAGCCATGAGGGCACAAGGTGAATTAATTGGTATATGGACAGAAAAGATAGAAGAAATATGACTTAGAGAAGAAGCTGAGCTTTGGGGCCTGATCATTGCTGCTCTAGCAGCAAAGACAAAAGACTGCTTGCCACACCTTTATTCAGTACACCAGGAGCAAACAAATGTAACAGATGACTCAGGGCAGGGAGTTCAGTACAATGGGAGAATAACACATATAAAAGTGACTCAGAGGGTAGTGGTGGTGAAAAATCCTAGAACAATGAGGAACTATGCAGATGAAGATTTTGTTCCTCTGAGGATGTCTTCAGCTGGTGTAATCCTGCCCTGAGCATCACAGCATCACCAGACGACTGAGGTTTTAGCTGTGAACAGAGGCCAAAATGGAGTTATGTCTCAACATGCTGTAGCTGACCTGTAGGCAGGACAGTTAGGCTTAATCAAGTGATTTTACCCCCAAATTATATAGAATTGCTCCCAACATATTTCCCTTTCATTTTGTTTTAAGTAACAGTGCTTTTTGGGAAAATGAACATGCCTAACAACAGCTTGTCCCTATGTATTGTGAGGACCTATAAAGTATTTAACTGGCTGAGTTATCTCTAATAAGCTCTTTTTTCAAATGGCTATCCCCAACTGTGGTTAGGGGACAAGGGGTGAAGGTTTCATCCAACTGCTATGAGCTGATAAGGGTGGATGTAGGGAAGACTGCAATCTGGGTATACTTCTCAGCCACTAATTTAATGGGCCTTGTATGAAAACCATGTTGCAAATTAACAATAAAAATCCTCTTTATAAAGTGTATCTGGTGGGTATTGGTAAAGGAATGTCTAACATATTTGTTGTTGATGCTATCTGTATGATCACTTGGAGTTTGCAGTTATAGGCAAGAATAAGCAAAATAAATATTTTAAAAGATTATAGCATGCATAGTCAAGGTATGATCACTAAAAATAAAAAGGGTAGATTGGGGAAAGAAGCATGTTTAAAAACTGTTTTTGAGGGACTAAAATAGTGAATGTAACTTGTTGACTCCTAGATCATCCACTAATTGGAGAATGTCTGTAAGTCAGATATATTTTTTCATAATTTCTCTTAATATTGGCTGTACAAAGATTAAAAATCTAATAATTAAAAAAACAATTTTAGCTAAAAAACTTAAAAGTCTTGTTGGACTCAAATAAATGTTATCTTCTGTTATACTTTTTTTATTGGGTATTTAAGATCAAGTTATGGTGAGACATATTAAATAAAATTAACTTCTTGCTATCTAACAAGGTCAATTAAGTCTTGATTTCTTGGAACTGCCTTGGAACCAGGAACAGAGCCTCTTAGCTCCACTGTTACTGTCAGCCATCAGGATATGTCATGACCTTGCTCAACCATGTTGCTTTCTGCAAAAACACAGGAGATTTTTTTCCTTCAGGTGACGTTCCTCTGAAACACTTTTTTGCTGAATCTTATGGTGTCCAGCAACCTCCCTGCTTAGGAGGTTGGGTGACTCACCAAAAATGCAGGATCTTGGAGAAGGTTGCCTCATGTCCTGGATCTTTTTGTAGTTGTTGACCTTGGAGGGACAGGGCCAAAATATTGTCTGTCTTCTTAGCCCGGTTACCTTTCTAGTTATGGTCTCTAAACTTTAGTTGTTGAACACCAAGAAGAGTAGATCAATAACATTAACACTGTAATAGGAGTAGTGAATTTAACTATTATAATTTTACCTGGATATTAGGCATTTTGAAATAAAAATATAGTTAGGAGACTGTTACTATTGTCAATCATGGTTGTTCTAGTGGTTGAATCTCCATAGAAAGTTAATAGAAAAAGGCTTTAAATAAAAAATTATACATAGTATTTTAGCACGACAATTGATATTATCTTTGAAGTACTCTTGCATATGTATCTTAGTACAAAATAGCCATTGTTAAATGTTCTCACTCCCCTCCAAAAAACACATGAAAAAGGCTCTTACCTAAGTAGCTACCTTTTGACAGGATGTCATCTAAGGAAAATATATTGGCCTACAAATGTACCTGTTATTATAAGTGGTAGGAGCATAAGAGAAAGGCAAATATCTGAATAAAAAGGAGGTTATTACCATAAACAGTACATTGGAAGGCATGTACAGTTAGAGGGCATGAATATATTTTGTACACCAGAAATGTAGCAGTACTAAATATCACAATTACATAAATCCTTATGGTCTTCAATGTAGTTTGGTACCAAAAGCATCTTTCTAATAACACCTTTTTGTTTATCCCACAGAAATTAATCTTTTGAAGATGACTAATGTAGACATCACAATAACATATTTAGAATTTAACCACTATAAACATTTTATTATAACATATTTAGAGCCTGAACATTTAATAATAACATATTTAGAGCTTAAACTTTGATGATAACCAATGTAATCAATTTATAATAACATATTGAAACAATTTTGGGGTGCATCTCCCATAAGGTTATGAAAATTACTGGGTGTCCCTTTAGTAAACTAAGATGAAAATAATTATTTTCTGGGCAGCCACTTCTTTATTCACCAAAGGAAGTCACATTTAACAATCTCTCCAAACCCAATGGTCTCTATTTACTTTGATAAACAAAAATATATATGTATGTTTTATTTTTGTAACTGCTTATTGCAATTTGCTTATTGCCTTTAATCAATAGTATGCATTACTTTTTGTAAAATAAATCTTGATGTCACTTTGATCAGTTAGCAACCTGGGGGAAGAAGGGCATGCTTTCAACTTAATAACATTTATCTGTAAGACAATTTAATAACAGGTGAATATCTTTTAAGAAAAATTTCAGAAGGTGAAAAAGAGAAAATAAAGTAAAAAATTGAGCTCAACTGTACAGTTGGACAGGCAACAGACAAACGTATAAGGCAATTAATTTATAAAACTAGAGTGTACTCAAATATATTTGGCCAAATTGGATTATAATATCCACTTTATGATTTTTAGGTTTATAATTGTGCATAAGACTGGTCAAGAACTTTTTGTAGGTCAATTAATAGAGATCTCTTTTAATGAGAATCAGAAGGAATAAATGTAAGTGTAAATGTAAAGAACATTTTTAAGTTGGTTCCCCTCTTTTTTTTTTTAACTATAAATCTATATTCATTCTCTGTCTGGGGGCATCATCTTAGTCTTGAGCCTTGCCATAGCTTTG